GCATCAATTCTGTCTTTTTAATTCATTGTCCAGCTTTCACATGCACATCAAGCTATTGAAAATACCATGACTTGAGTTAGGCACACCTTAGTTTTCAAAGTGACATCTTTAACAGTTTTAAAAGATCTCTTGCAGCAGATTTGCCCAATGCAATATGTCATTTGATCTCCTGACTGCTGCTTCCATGGGCATTGATTATGGGTCCAAGTAAAATGAAATCCTTGACAACTTTGGTCCTTTCTCCATTTATGATGATGTTGCTTATTGGTCCATATGTGAGGATTTTTGTTTTCTTTATGTTGAGGTGTAATTCATACTGAGGGCTGCAGTCTGATTTTCATTAGTAAGGGCATCAAGTCATCTTCACTTTCAGCAAACTACATATCTCAAGGCCTTGTTATCATTAAAATAATGACTTGGGTAAGTCCTAGCTCTGACACCATCAGTGTGACTCTAGGAAAGTTCAATAGGTTTTCTGAGTTTAGTTTCATTGGCAGTGAGGATAGTTTTAGAACCACATCATGAGTTGCTGGGAAGATTAGATATAGTCTTCTTCACAATGCCCAGCACAAAGAAAGCTTCCAAAATTGATTGCAGTTAATAGGAGTCATGCCAGTCAAAGAGACCAACAGATGCTTGATCTGTGCAAAAAGGACATGGAGGCAGCATCTTCTGACCTCTAACTTCACAAGAGGAAGACAGAGTCACCATCAGCAGCCCAAGGCTTATTCCTGTGAGACCAGACATGCTGCCACCCTCCAACCTTTTACCAACTTTGACACCATCTGTCCCTTCCACGGTACTCACTACTTCTCTTCTGGGTTCAATAATTTATTGCAGTGGCCATACAGAACTTACAGACAATACTCATGATTATGGGGTTTCTTAGGGAAGTAACAGGCTATAACTCAGATTCAGAAACGTGCTTAGGATACAGTTCTTCAGTCAGGACAGTCTTCCCTTTGCTCTGCCCTCAGGCATGGCTCTCTGGCCCTTGGCCTTTCAGCCTGGCCTCTGCCTCTGTGAGCGAGCCAAGTAAGCCTGCCACTGTGTTTCATGCCTCTTGGTTTCATTGCCACTGTCTCTGTGCTGGGGCATCTCGGCCAAGGAGATCCAGCACAGGGATCTCCACGTCACCTCCAACTCTTCTCTCCTGATGGCAGTGAGATCCCCTCTCTGCCTCTAGGAGGGCTCGTTTTAAGCCCAGTGGAGTGACAAAACTAACCAGGCCCAACATCAGAGTTCTGCACACCTTATTTGCGTGGTCCCACCCATAATCTAGGAGCTCTGGTAGCATAGTGCCTAAGGCACTTGACTGCTAACCAGAAGGCTGGCGGTTCAAACCCACCAGCCACTCCTTGGAAGGAAGATGGTGCAATCTACTTCCGTAGTGATACTGCCTAGGAAACCCAAGGAGGGGTCGCTATGAGTCGGGGCCAACTCGATAGCACATAACAACAACAATAACAACCCATGATCTGGTGGGAGTTACAAAGACTGTGGCTAAAAAAGCCATACCAAGTAGTTGGTATGGCTGCACCACAATCTGACTCTTCTGGACACACATCTCTGGACAGAGTCTTATATTTGGAGTCCGAAGACCTGGGTTCAAACCCTCACCTACTCAGGCAAATGCAGTACCTGGTACCAAGGCTGGGATCCATGAAGTTGGCTGTCTTTTTCATGGAGTATTTCTTCAGTGTAGACAGTGGGTCTGGATTAGGCGATAAATATCCTGTGGCAAATGGAGCAAAAGAAGCATCGCACGCTTTTCCAAAAATATATGCTTTTTTAAAAAAAAAAAATTACAAATAAAACTAATTGAAACCAAGAATCCTGATAGAAAGGGGAAAAATGCAAAACAGAATTTCAGATTCTCATGGAATCCTGATTTTCTGGAGCCAGAAAGTATGGATGAACTCCCGAAACTATTGTCTTGAGATAATCTTTAAACTTAAACCAAAAATATCCCCTAAAGTCTTCTTAAAACTAAACAGTAGTTTAGCTTAACTAGTAAAAAAAAAAAAATCTACCTTGAGCATTATGCTGTTTTAAGATCTATCTATATGGCATCAAATTGTCAACAGCAACTCAAAAGATTAGATAGGAACCTTAGGGGGCACTGAGTTTATGGGGGCATCAGTAGGGGAGAAATAGTTTGGAAAAAAAGGAAGAGAATGGTTGCACAACTCAAAGAATGTCACTGATTTGAACATGTAGAAACTTAAATTGGCAGAGATTTTGCTGTGCATATTCTCAAAAACAACAAGAAAAATATATTGAGGGGAAAAAAATGTAATTGAAACCAGAAAACATTAAATTATAATCATTGTACATACTATTTAGGGCAAATTTTTAGGAAAACCAATTTGACACTTGGCACACTGGGGTTGCCCGTGAATATTCAGCGGCTCAGGTTTATGAAGCATGAATCTAGTAGTTAAACCTACTGGTTATATGTGTCTATTTTAAGCAGCAGAACCTCATATAAAGCAAACAAATCTAAGATCTGGTTGAACTAGAGGTGGAAATCTCAAGCCATCCCCATTTCCTTTCGCCTCAGATCCCTCTTTTCTCCTTGTCCATCCATCTTCTTCTGGTGATAAAAATTCATATTCCACAAGACACCAAAAGCACAAACAGCAGAAGGAAAAAAAATAAATTGAATTAAAGCAAAATTTAAAATTTTCATGTATCAAGAAAGTGGAAAACAAAACAGAAAAGTAGAAAATATTCACAAATCATATGTTTGATAAGGGCCTAGTATCTGGAATATATAAAAACTCTTAACAACAAAAACACAAGCAACTCAATTTTCAAAATGGATAAAGTGTGTGCATGTATATATATTTTCTTGAACAGACATTTCTATGAAGAAATAGCCAGCAATACATGAAAAGCTGTTCAACATCATTAGTCATTAGGGAAATGTAAATCAAAACCACAGTGAGATACTACTTCACACCCACTATTATTTAAAGAAACTGAAAACAACAAGTGCTGGCAAGGATGCCAAACATTGGAATCTTTGTGCATTGCTGGTAGGAATGTCAAATGGTGAAGCTGATCTGGAGAACGGTTTGGGGGTTTTTCAATAAGTGAAGGCTAGAATTACCATATGACTGAGCAACTCCACTCCTAAGTACATACACCCAAAAGAATGGAGAACAAGTATTGAAACATAATTTTCGTGGCAGCCAAAAGGTGAAAACAACCCAAGTGTCCATCAGCTGAGGAATGAACGAACAAACCATGGCATAGTCATACAATGGAATATTACTCAGCCATAAAAAG